ACCATTCAGTATTTCCTTTTTAGGTTTTAAAATTAGTCCATTTTTATGTGATGGCTTATGATGTTACGCACTGTACACTACGTGTGTAAACATGGTATTACATTGCACATGCATCAATGATATTCTAATAAGAAAAATTTACCATGATATGACACTGATAATATTGTTTATATGTAGATGTTTAAAAGGGCAACTCACCCCCCCCAGTGCTTATATTTTCATAACAATAAAAAAAGTTTAAAAAAAAGTTAATTTTTTTTTATTGATGCAAATTTTATTATGTAATGCACGTGACACATGTTGTCACACTAATGAAGTCAAAAGAACAATGTTTATTTTAGCTGATGGAACTTTGTTATCAATATAAAATTGCTTTATTGAAAAGAATCCTCAAGCTTTGTATAAGATATAAGGGTTTCTTTGACTTAAAGCCATGAGATCTAGAAAAAATGTCAACATAAATAAAATATATAAAAATGCTCTTTAGAATCCTCTGAAAAAGTTTTGTATGTACCATTTTTAAATAAGTCAGAGGGTTTTATGGTAAAAATTGTTAAAAGTCATCATGGGTTTCTGTGTTAACATTACACATACTAATTGATTTTATGGAATGGATTTGTTCACTGACTGATAAGGATGTTGTTAAAATTTTATGTGTTTCTGAACATAATTATCAAATTTAAAAATCTAAAAAAAAAAATTTATTCCTTGATCTCAAATTTTTTAATTTGAGTATAATGATCACCAGAGAACTTTTGGTGACTAGAATGATTGGTGAATATTTGAATATTCAACAGATATACCCTCTATTGGTGACAGATGGAATTTTGAATAGTCACAATTCTTATTGGATATTTTGATATCCAAAAAGGGGTATTAGTGAATAGAAACACTATGATTCCTATATACCTACAAAGTATTTTTTATGAATAATTCTGCAAAATGGATTATTTAATTAAATCAGTAAGTATATGGAATCCTATACATTTTGAAATATCACAAACTATATAAGCCTATTTGTCTGATCCTGTAAGGAAACCCTTTTCCTTACATCAAAATACAAGTAAAATTGAATTTTTTTAAATTGTAAAAATACAAGTTACTTTATTTTATTATGGAAAGCTTATCTTTTATAACAAAAATACATATAATAATTTAATATTACAATTGATAAATAAATATGTAATTAATTAATATCTTAGAACTTCCCGGAAAGCTGTGGCACTTAATTAGTAACTTGTGTACATAAAGAATAATAATAAAACGTTAGTAATATAAATAATAATATATGCAATGATAAATAAATAAAAAAAAAAGGATCTTTATGTTACTGCGTCTCATTCCATAAGAGATGTAAAATAAAATGAACTGTTACAGATCCATACAATTATAATAAACATTCATGATATTTGCCTTTTCAATAAAATAATTGGATATAATATTAACCTATATATAAAAAATCCATAGCACTGTATAAACTGTTTTTTAATATTAACCAGAAAATTTTTTGTAAAAATGTGATTGATTAAACTTATTTTATTAACTATAATATAAGTAAGCTATTTTTGTATTAATACCTTAATCTTTTTCTTAGGAGACTTACATGTTGAGATGTTACTAATGCCACTTAATCTACCTGTAAATTCAGTATTTGATGATCTACTATTTACAATAATTTTGTCCAAATTCATTATATTCTCATAATTTTGTTTTATATAGCTATTTACATTATGTAAACTTTCTATAAATCTTAAAACTTTTTTGGATTTTCCTGCTACAATTCCCTTATCAAAAAATGGAACTTTGATGCTTTTTATCATTGCCATATGATAAAAAGGAAAATTATCTCTTTCTAACATGTAAACATCTAGGGTTTGTATTCACAGATACCATGAATACCATTAAGGGGGTTACACACTAATAAATCAGCAAAAAATCCCTTAAAAACACTTGATTTTAATAGTGTGACCTCCTTACAGTATCTGTGAATACAAACACAAACCTATAAACATCAATCATTTTACCTATGAAAATGATAAAATCACAATTACAATAAATAAATAATGACTATCAATATAATGATCTTAAATGGAGAATTACCATGGAAATGCAGCATTATTGACTTGATTTTATTCATGTGTGAAACATTGAATGGCTCATCAGTTTGACTATACATTGACTTCATTGAGTCCCATTCATCTTTCCCGAATTTTGCTAAACATATGAAATCATCTCTTCTATGATCTTCATTATTTTTTTTATAAGGACCATTACTGATCTCACCAAATAAAAATTCATATTTTGCTGATTTATTTTTATTTTTATGATAAATCATAAAATCTGGAAATTTGATGCTGCCTCTTTTCTTTGTTGAAGATGGTAATGTATCACTTAAATGAAGAAAATATATGATAAATTTCATCCAAATTGTAACTTATACATTTTTTCAAAGCCTACTCATCCTTACCAACATAATTTTATGTTGTTTCCTAAATTAAAACAAAGAAAGTTAACTATCTGTATGATCAATAAATGAGAATAGGATATTTTGTTTAATTGATCTTCCTCATCTACATCACTGTCATAACCAAAATTATCATCATTGTCATAACATTCATCCCATATATGGTTTTGGCTAAGAAAAAAAAATGAATCAGAAAAAATAACCAACATAAAAATAAAAAATTTAAATAAAACAATTAATTATAATTACAATTTCTCTATCAGAGATCAAATTGCATTGTACAAATGTGCTCATCTTTGGTTTGATATTGGATTTGTTTTTCAACTAAATTTTTAATAAACATTTTTGTTTGGAAGTCAAACCTTGATTCAATAAAATATACATTAAACTTGGCTAGAAGTTGGTTTTCTTGGAGCTTTAATCTCAAACTTTGATGTTTGTTGAGGATGTCATCATTGAATAGTATCCCACTTAAAAGGACATCATCATTCTTCAGATCCAAGTTTCTTATGTTACTAGATACTATTCTTGTAAATAAGTTGGTTGATCTTTTCCCCAACTAAAGATAATTAAAAGCAATATTTAATAATGTTTTGCATATCATACTTTAAGAAAATTAAAATTAAAATGTTCCAAATACTTGCATCTTCAATTCTTTTCAGCTTCTGAATTTTCTCTTGATTTATGATATGTGTTTTTATACAAACCATTTTCTTTTCCTTTATTATGGCATCAATATAGTTATTTACAGTACCAATCAAATTCAACTCTCTAAACCGATGGATTGTATCATAAAATGTGGTTGAATCCTTTCTATCATCTTTTGAGATAGAAATCCTCTAACCAAGTTAAAAAATAATAAATATAAATTTAACTTGTTAATATTATTATTATTTATTTATTTTTTAAAAAAAAAGAAACTTTTGACTATCTTATCATAATAATGTAATCAATAATTATCACTGCAATTCTTGATGAGAATTGCTACAATAATCAGCACAACAACTAATCCCACTGAAGTACCAAAGCGCATGTCTCCAGTTCGAGGGAGTGGTGAGATACATTCATATTCCATAAAGATAATCTCATTTACAGCTCCCACACTAGTTAGAAGAGCAAATGAACTTATTGAAATATAAATTTGTTTAACACCTCTAAGTCCTCACCAGAGGGCCATCTTTGGTACCTCTATTAGAGGAAGAAAGCATCCCAAAATCATAATTTTTGATTGCAAGTCACATCACAACATACTTTGTTCACTCATGGTTATAATCATTAATGATTGTCCAATTTTTTTGCATTTGTTAAATAATGATATCACTTACTTTATTACCAATTTTTCTGTTAACTCTCTATGAATAGCTGTTTTGTCAAAATCAAAAAGTTTGTTCAACAAAGCTAAATAAATGTAAAGACCAAGTAAAAGTTGTGGAGTGTTCTTGGCAATTGCAATAGTCAAGTATTTGCTGACTAACTCAATTAGTGTCAGAGGCTCAGTTGGGGGTTTGTTGCTAGTAACTTTCCTAAACAAACTCATTGATCAATATTACTTTTATTATTACATTTGTTTTTTATCTGACTAAATTAGGATAAAATTTTTGTATCTCATTCCTTAACTGTATTAGCATTAGAATTTTGGCCCCTGCAATTATTTATTTTGTGACGCTACCCCCATATTAATATTATTAATTCCCTAGTACTAGATCTAGATTTTTAAAAAAAAAATTTTAATAATGTCTGATATCAATGTTGATGATAATGTAAAAAATGTCAAAATTGGAGTTATTGGCGGAACTGGTCTTTATCATTGCCATCATTTAGAGTTAATCAAAGAAATTTATCCTAAAACAGTAAGCTATTGTTCATCAATTCATATAAATTTAAACTTTTATTTCTCTTTTATCTTATAATATTATGTCTATCTTCATGTTTATAGCCATGGGGATATCCTAGTAGTAATATAACGATATGTAAGGATTCAAGTGGTTTTAAAATAGCATTTTTGGCAAGACATGGTGAAGGTCACAAGTATAACCCGACTCAGGTACCTTCTAGAGCAAACATAGCAGCACTCAAGCATTTAGGTGTGGAAATTATCATAGCCTTTTCTGCTGTTGGCTCGTTACGCAAAGAAATAAAACCAAGAGATTTTGTTCTTCCATCACAAATAATTGATCGTACAAAAGGTATACGACCTTTTACTTATTTTGAAGATGGAATCACCTGTCACATCACCTTTGCCGATCCATTCAATCAACAACTAGCCGACATAATATACAGACATAAAAACATTATCGAAGGCACAAATATCAATGATGGGGATGATAAATTGGTTTTCCATCGTGATAAAACAATAATTTGTATGGAAGGACCAGCATTCTCAACAAAAGCTGAATCAAAACTTTATAGAAGTTGGGGTTGTGACGTTATTAATATGTCGGTGTTGCCTGAGGCAAAACTGGCCAAAGAATTAGAGATTGCGTATCAGATGATTTGTATGTCGACAGATTACGATAGTTGGAATCATGAAGAGGGGGACGTGGTTGATGTCGAAACTGTTATTAAAAACTTGGAATTCAATTCTAAAAACGCCAAAAAATTACTTGATGCTATTTTACCAGATCTGGAAACTGCATTAAAGGAAAATAGATTTCATGATATCAAAGACACAACAAAAAACTCCTGTATCACTAGACAAGAAGCAAGAAATAAAGAAATGATTGAGAAATTAAATTACGTTTTACCAAATTATTTCTAATTATGATTATTATTTATTTATTTATTATTTAATTTTGTTATACAATACTTCCCAAAATTAAAGCTCGTATGTATATTTGTATTTTACATCCCTTGAAAATTGTATTTATTTTTGCAAAATAATTAAAATGAAAATAAAACGAATTATATATATATATATATATATATGTTGGATGTGTGTATGTGTATATGCATTATGTATATTATGATTGTGATTATGTATTATATGCAGTAGTTATTTGTGAATGATGCGAGAGGATTAGATGTTAATGATGGGAAGTGAAGTAGGATAATTATTAATATAAAGTTTAAAAAAGATAACTAACTAGATCCTGCCAACTCTAAATTCTTTGTAATTCAAATTTTTTTGAGGACATTAAGGTTACAATTTTTTTTTAATATTATTATTGTTTAGTAATTTATTAAATATAATGCATATATACACATACATGGAAATATATTATATACATGCTATATTTAATAATATACTCGTTATTTATATTAACAAAATGAGTAAAGATTTATTAATTATCTGTTGGTCCTGTATCACTATTATCATTTTCATTTTCGTTATTACCGTTGTTGTTCTCACTATTATTCCTAGTTTCACTATTATTTTTTGTTACGGAGGAAGAGGGTCTATCGGTATCGACAAAAGTTGGATTGTCACCTCCCCAGAAGATCATTATTTCACCATCACCTTCGTCTGATAACATTGTACTTCTACCGTTAGAACTGGTGGCACTTAGAATGCTTTCTCTATGAAGTACTTGTGGTGTAGTAGGTCCTGTATCGTCATACACCTCATCACTACCAAATAATCCAAATGATTGTCTTCCCTCTATAGGATCCAAGCAAGCTGATCCATGATCAGAAGATATTGATAATGTATTTGAATTGGAATTAGAATTTGTATTCCTGTTTGAATTTGTATTCAAACTAGTATTCAAACTATTTGAGCTTATGTTAGAAATGTTTGTTCTGGAAGATTCCGTCGATGATCTCTCAATATCTATCTGTGGAATTACCATCTCTGATCCATTATTTATCGATTTTGATGGACTGCTTGGTCCAGAAGGTATTAAAGAGTTGACGCTACTTAGAAATGAGTTGCATGTGAGAGGTGTCTTTGGAGTAGTACTACCACTTCTAATAGAAGAAGCTTGTGATGACGATTCATTCTTTATCAATGGTAATGACGTTGATGAATCATTTAAACCCTTTGATTTTATTGTATTTATTCGTACTAAAGCAGGTTTTACTCTAGTAGCAGTCATCAAAGTAGCAGCTGTTGATGTGGTGAATGTGGCGTTTGACCCTGTTGCTAAAGTTTTGGTTGCTTGTAAAATTGTGCCAACATCATTTGACTCACGGAAATGATCACAATCATCTATACCATCATTGATATCCAGTATTTGTTCACCCGACATAAATTTACGATTTGGTAAAGGACTTGCCAACGGTGTAGTACCAGCACTAGAATGTCGATATGACTGTGAATCTGACAACGATGGTGATGTTGGCGATAAAGGTGTTATTATGGGTGATGATGTTGGTATGTATGCAATAGGAATAACATTTTCAGAATCCGTTATTGTATCTTTTTCATCAAAAGTAGCACTATTATCCAAGCCGCGATCACTGCCAACTTTTAATTTTGAACGTTTCTTTAGTACAAAATATCCATAACCTGAAATTGCTAATATAGCAACTCCGACTATACTGCCAACTACAGCCGGTACTAATCCTGAATTCCCAGATGAAGCGTTGTTGTTACCGCCACCTTGTAATGAATTGGATGATAATGGCTCACAACGTGCAACCGGGCATGCTTTACAAGTCCTGGTAGTTGTAATACATTTTTCATCTGATTTACACTCTGTTGTACATTTTGCTACTTCATTGCATACTACACACGTTGATGAGGGTATTGAGATTGATGAGGTTGATGTGGTTGATGAGATTGATAATGGTGTTGCTGTTGTTGTTTTATCAGTTGCTGTTGGTCTATCTTCTATAAATAAATTAATTGATTAATTGATTAATTGATTAATTAGTTAATTGATTAATTAGTTAATTGATTGAAAGTATATTAATGCGGAAACTTACTTTGTGCTATTACATAGTCTGTATTTATTGAAATAATTATTAATATACAAGCTAAAAATACAAAATTTAAAGATCTTATCTTTATTATCGTATACATCTTTTTATTTTTTATTTGATTAATTAACTGTAAATTATATAATAATAATGCAAGGGATATAAAATATAAAAAAAGGTGAGAGGAAATTGTGGGTTTTAATTAAAGGGAGCAAAAGGAGAGGGATTAATGTTATTTATTTATTTATATATTATACATATATATAAATTAAAATAAAGGAATGTTTAAATTCTAATAATATTATAAATATATTATATAATGTATATAATAAAAATATTTAAGAATAATGGAAAAAAAAAGAAAAGAGAAAAAGAAAGAGAAAGGATGATATGAGTGTGATGTAGTAAAATCAAAGAACACCATTGAAAAGGAACAAAGCTTATTTTTATTATTTAGGAAAAAAAAATCATGACAAGAAAAATTAAATAATAAACAAAACAAATTAATTAATAATATTGTTATATTATTATTGACGCATGTAAAATGTTGATGTTTCACTAACAATTGTATACCACACAATATTGATATCAAAATCGTACGAGAGGTATGTTGTTACTTTGTTTGTCTTTTATGTCATATATGCTTTCTCCTAATATAGAATTAAAATTAATTTATATTTATTAAATATTAATATATTAACACCATATTACAACATAATAAACCGAATATCAAAATTTCTAAAAATAGACCGAACGATAAACAAAATTTTTAGATCAATTTATATCACATATGCTAAAATATGTCTGCCATGTCAATCACATCAACATTAGAAATTTCTGATGAAATTTCATCAGGAACTTCTCAAATTCAAGAAGCTAGCGTAGAAAATATTACAGAAGGTAATTAATTAATACATAATTCTTATTTATTATATACATCATAAATAAATATCGTTATTTTTATTATAATAAATGATAACTTAGATGAGACTGATTTATATGATAGACAAATAAGATTATGGGGTTTAGAAGCTCAACAAAAGTAAATAAATATATTAATTAATTGATCATCACATTAAATATTTCAAAAATCATAAAAATCATAATCTTTTTTTTTTCTAATTACGATAGAATGCGTAATTCATCAATATTAATATGTGGGATGAGAGGTTTAAGTAATGAAGTGTGCAAGAATATAGTTCTGTCTGGAGTTGGAAAGGTTACAATAATTGATCAGAATTTGGTGACTGAAAATGATTTAGGTGCTCAATTTCTTTTAAGTGAACAAGATATTGGAAAAAACGTAATGACAAAGTTTTTCATTTAAAAAATTTTTTTTGAATTGAAAGAAAAAATTTACTTACAATTAATATTTTTTTCAGAGAGCGTTGGCAGCAGCAGATCGTGTTAAATATTTGAATCCTCGTGTTAACGTAACAACTGACACTGATGATATTCGTAACAAGCCTAAAGATTATTTTCAGAAATTTGATTTAATAACTTTAACAGATTGTGATACAAATACAATAGTAATTTGTTAACACATACTTGTGTTATATTTATTATATTTTTTTACTTATTTGCTGACATCCAGAATTGATTTATTATTAATCAGATCGAGATTAACCGGATTTGTCATGAATTAGGCAAGAAATTTTATGCAGCAAGCACATATGGCATTTATGGATATATATTTTGTGATCTTCTTCAACATGAATTTATTGAGTAAGCCAAGATATAATTATTATTATTATTAGAAATAGTCGTAGTGAAAGCATTTTTTAAACTGACTGATTAATTTAATTTTTCCATTTGTGTGATATTTGTGCTAAGAGAGCGTCGGGTGGCTATTCCACATAAAGATGAAGTTGAAATAAAAATGATAAAGAAAAATGCCAAATACGAAAACTTTGAAACCTTTTTATCAAATGATTGGGCAACTACTAAAAGAAAAAAAATAAAGCCTTTATTCTGGGCTATACAAAGTATTTATTGAATCATCGAGAATCATTAGAATTATGGGAGTTCTCATAAAAAAACTTAATTTAATTTGATTTATTTATTAGTAATTTTGAAATTTCAACAAGCAAATAACCATCCACCAAAATTATCTGAAGATATTGAAAAATTATCATCCATCAGAGATTCATATATGCAATCAGTTGGAATTGATTCATCGTTCGTTTCTGATGAACTATTAAAGTAAAATACAATTTCGATATTATTAAGGTTACTACTGTTATATCTCTGCACTAGATTATCAGTTATTTATTTGTTGTTTGTGCATAGATCACTTGTACTGAATTTTTCGGCAGAACTATCACCAATTTGTGCAATTGTAGGCGGAATCTTGGCTCAGGACATTTTAAAAGCATTATCATGTAAAGAATTACCTATTAACAATTTTTTCATTTATGATGGAAACGAAGGTAAAAAAATTTTAACACAGCATGTGTGTGTGTATATGTATATTTATATATATTTATATTTATATTTATATTTTATATAGGTTCTGGTCTTATTTACAAATTTGAAAAATCATCTAATTAATTAATATTAAAGGTGAAAATTTTTCAGAAATTCATTCATGATCAATTGGTTGATATTCATTTCATTAAATATTGCACATCTAATATCTGATATGTCATCCATTTACATTGCAAACTAATGCTTTGAGCTTTCAAATAATTGAATAATAGTCAAAAATTTTTTTTTATTTTTCAATTGTAGCAAAATCTAGCATTTGATTATTAAAAAATTATCTTAGAATTTAATAATTCAGAATTCAGTGTCCTGTGTTGTGGGTCGATTGTTGCCCATGAGAATGGTCACTATGGCTGTGATAAGAACCATGGTGGTGGTAGTGGCTGTGATAGGAGCCGTGTTGTACTTATCCTTGACCCTTTTGAAGTAATAATCTTGGTTGCCATTTACTAGTAAGATAACATTGAAGAATTTCTTCATAAAGTTCTTTTTCAATACTTTTTTTATATGGTTTGATTTTTTTGTAGAAGTCATCAGATGAAATTTGATTAAATCTAATTTAGAGGTTGGCACCGCGCAAAAATTCTTTAACCGGTTAATTAACTGTTACAATTAATATTAAGAGTTAACCGGTTAACCGATTAATTTTAGAAATGGTTAACCGGTTAACTTTATTAACTGATTAACCGGTTAATTTAGTCA